TATATATTCTTTGTGTTTATGTATATTCTTTGTTTATATATTCTTTGTGTGTGTGAATATATATATAGTCTTACATATAAAGTTCATGCACATTGTTTTTCACACAGGATCTTTCTCTTTTCCTTTACTACCCCCCCCCCCAGCCAACAGAACTGAAGTCACTTCAAGAGGCCACTTGTCAGTTAAATAATGTAAAACAAATAATAACATCTGTGAAGTGCTTCTAAACGGTTCGATTTTCAATATAGGAGATCAAATGGATATGTTTGCCTAAAATCAAGCAGGGGAAAGCAAAAAGGGTCGAGGAACCTAGAGTGATGGATAAGAAAGATGAGGTGGGCGCAGGTAGAGTGTGAACACTGCAGAGAGCGCAACCAATGTCACAGAACCAGCTGGATATGAATTGTTAAATGGGAAACTGCTTTGTTAAGTAAAATTTCACCTAACAACGATCCCCCTTGAAAATGGAATAACTCTACCTGAATTTCTCCCAACAGTCCTCCAGTTCGCTCCAGTACCAAGGAAACGGTCATTGTGGAATTCGGGTTAGGAAGAGAAATTTTGCTTTGATTGAGAAATCTCACAATCCCAGAGGGAGAGTCACTCTTGGCAATCGTGATTCTGCTCACTAGGTGGCGCCCAAGGACCGCTCCGCCTGTAGCTCCAGCTAGCAGAATTTCAACGGGCTCCTCAAATTCACTGCAGAGCAAGAGGAGCAATTCTGAGATTCTAAACATATTAAAATGCCTCTAAAATGCAAATAACTAGTCATTTTCCAAATTGGTCATACATATTCAAGGCACAGTAGTCACACACCAAGTGGATGGAAGAGAGTGATCATCTAAAGTACAAATGATCAAACCCGCTATTTTATGACCTCATTAGTCGCAGCATCCACCCCACTTTTAATTGTTTGATGCATCTAGTGCAGGAAGTGAACGCAGGTTCTACTTTGTGATTAAACTTCTGCAAATCTCAAGGAACAAAAATAATTTTCTCTTAATTTCAAAAAGAATGTGGCATATACCAACACAACAAATCTCTTAAGTCCCTCTCCCAATTTCTAGTACCCCAAAAATTTAATTTGCTTATTCTTCTTGGGAATATTTATTAAATCAAATTCTATTATAAAAAATGTATGGAAAGATTAGTGGCGTTGGTGGTAGTGAATTTAAATCAATATTCTACTTATAGCAGTTCAATGTGACAGAGTAGTGTAATCCTAGAGGGTTTTGTGGTTATGTGGTACAGTTAATCTATTATTCAAAATGGCTTTTTGAGGTCATTGTCCTTGACTTTGCCACAACAGTAGGCAGGAACATGCAAACAGGGTGTTAGTCTATGCACATAGGGACTACAAGCTTCACTATTCAACGAGGTTTAAATTGAGTAGATTCAGCAGCAGAAACTTCAGAATCTCACTAGCAACATGAAAAGGGAAACAGACATTGCAGTAGGACTAAAGATTTCTGTGCTACTCAGACTGTGATTTATATAAGAGCAGCTGCCTCAGCAGAGAACCAGGGACTAACAGGAGACAGAGCTGACCTGGGACTACTGTCCCACAGAGCCAGAGCCTCAGCTTCTTGAATCCTGAGAGAAGGCACCATTATTGACAGGACTTATGAAACTTCAATTAATATACCGTCTATTACGGGGGCCTTATTTTTTTGCTATTTCCTTCAAAGCAGCTTGAACTTCTTCCTTCATCACCATAGGTTCTTGCTCAAATGTGATTTCATTAAATTCTCCTGTATCTGCCAATTCCTTTCAATACAATGACTCAGCATATTCCTTCCATCTTTTTTTGATACCTCCTGGATCATTTAACATTCTGCCTAAAGCATCCTTGAT